AGTTCTCCAGCATCACGTCTCGGTACAGCGTCTTCTGAGCAGGGTGAAGCTGCTCCCACTCCTCCCCGGTAAAGGCCACGGCCACGTCCTGGAAGGTCAGGGACTCCTGAAACCAAGCACATCCCCGCTCCTACAGAAGCTGTTCTCACAGGCCCTCGGAGCAGGAGGGAGACAGCGGCTGAGGGAAAGCTTAGGTGTCTGGGCCATGGGGCTGAGTCTTCCGGATTCTGAGTAATCCAGGGGCCAGGTCAAAGCTTTTAAAATAGCCAGGTGTGGTGGCACATGTCTGTAATTGCAGCACTCAGGAGGCTGAAGCAGGAGGACTGCTGTGAGTTCGAGGCCAGCCAAGCCTACATAGTGAGATCAAGGCCAGGCTGGACTACATAGCGAGACCCTGTCTCAACAAACAAACAAACAGCGCCCTGTTATTGTAGAGCTGAGAAGCAGCAACTCCCCCAGGCAGAAACTTCATGGTGGAAGGGCACAGCAGAGGGAAGCTGCTCTATTCACAGTACCTGTGAAGCAGAGAGAGATGGAAAGAACTCAGCAGGAAGGGGCCCCTGGGCCTGGACACAGTCTCCAAGGTTACACCCCCCAGGGCCTGCTTCCTCCAATTAGGCCTCACCTCCTAATAGCTCATTCGGCTCTGTGCTCCTCAATCTCCCTTCTGATCCCATCACCTCTCCAGAAGCCTTTTAATCTGTTCAAGTTGACGGTCAATATTACCCTTCAGAGGCTGATCAGCGGCTACTAAGTCACAGTTCAGCAGGAGCAAGTTGTGGTATGCAATTAAACAGTGGGGTCACTATAGATAACAATAATGTACCACATACTTCCAAAATGTACCACATACGTCAGGCCAGGGATACAGCTCAGTGGCCCTGCACCTGCCTGGTGAGCGCAAGGCCCTGAGTTCAATTCTTGGTACCAAAAAAAAAAAAAGTTTAGAACCACTTTCAACCACATAGGAAACACAGAGTGGCTTTGGGAACCATCTTTTGCTGCAGACTTGGTAACGTTTCCCAGTGAACTCAACTGAAAGTCACAAAGCAAGACAGCACTTGTAACATATACTACCGTAAAGTTATTTCAATAGTCTTATGGTTTTAAACTAAGATGCCCCTCCCCAAAGTCTCACATTCGGAGGGTGGGGCCTGGTTGGAAAGGGCAGATCACCAGGGGTGTGATCTGGAGGGATGTACTGTACTCTCATCCAGGCCCCTCCCCTCTCTCTCTGCTTCCTGGCCATGCAGGGTGAACAGCTGTCCTCCACCCAGGCCCTTCCACCCTTCCTGCCCTGGCAAGCCTGACCATGGACTGAATCCACTGAAACCCTAACCCAAAATAAACCTCTCCTCCTTGAAGCTGTGGTGTTGGATGTTTTGTCCCAGTGATGGTAAAGTGACTAAGACAAATGTAACTACTACTGTTTTGCATCTCAAGTAATGTCAAACTGGTTTATGTATTTTCAGCGCTGTCAAAATATAAAACAAGGCACGAGACCCCTGTCCCCACGCAAAATTTGCAGCAGCTGTATTTTCCAAGCTCAAATTATAGTTCTGGTAGAGTCTTTGGGTCTCTAAAACCACCACAAAGGGCAAAATCCACTTAATCATGCAATTCAGGACTTAGATTAATCTGCCACCTAATGACACGCTATAAGTTAACCAGAGAGATGAAAATAATAGAATTCTACAAACACCGTTGGAGTAATGAATACGCCTAAATTCAACCATATACTGCTGCATGATATCAGTATTTGGAGAAAGTTTCCAAAGATGAAATACGTAAAACCTCATTTTAACAAGCCTGAATAGGTGAGCCATTCTTTGCGATTGATTTTGGTGATAAAGAACACTAATTTTGAACCCCAGTTAAGCGAAATGTTATTCTCATGAAGAGCTCTATTCTCAACAGTAGATCTATAATAATGCTCTCGATTGATTGACTGACTGATTGACAGTACTAGGGATTTGCACCAAGTTACATCCTCAGTCCTTTTATTTTTTGAGACAAGATCTCACTAACTTGCCCAGACTGAGCTCAAAATTGCGATCCTCCTGCCTCAGCCTCCCAGAGTGCTAGGATTACAAGTCTGTCTTGTTGTTTTAGGTTTAACCCATATAAAATGGGGAAGGGGCCCCGGAGATCTATTTCTAAAAGGGGACAGCGAAGTTGGACTACCGCTGTGGGGGCAGAGCCGCGACCCGCGATCTGCATGCGCCTCGGGTTCCGCACTCGGGGTGGGGGCTGGGCGAGGGGGGAGCGGGGCCTGCGACCCCCAGCGGCCGAGGCCGGCGCATGCGCTCTCGGGCCGCAGCGCGGGCGCCATTGCGGGAGGCGGCGGCCCAGCCCGGCTGGTGGACGCGGAGGCGGTGAGTGAGCGCGCGCCGGGCCGGGGCTCGCGGGGCCAGGCCTCCCCATCGCGAGGGGCGGCGTCTCGGCCCGGGTCCCTGAGTGGCGGAGTCGCACCTTTCCGGTTCGTCCGCTCCTGAACTCGGGGATTTGGTTTAACCCGCGAGCCGCTCGCGTCGCCAACGCCTCCGCGTGGGGACCTCCCTGAGTGACGTCACGCTCACAGAGGGAGAAGCGGAAAGCTGGGGCTGCTGAAAATTAGATTTGCTTAAACTCCTGATACTGTGTGTTTGAAGTCAGTGTCATACACAGCATGGGAAGACCAGGTGGACACTGAGCCCTCTCTCCCTGTTTGACGCACAAAATGTATTTCTTGTCATCCATAACTATCACAGTGACAGATTTTTCTCTTACCCACGGTCAAAAACGGCACTGGGATGCTGGGCCCAAGCTCCGCTGAGTGACCCGTGCCCCCCAGCGTTTTCACTCTATGCTGCATGCGTGCTGTGCCATTTAAAGCTGTAATTCTTCTTTTTAAAAGTGTCAACCTCGTGAAAAACAGGAAGCCTGAAAAGCTCACAGATCAGAGAACGCTAAGGAGAGCTAACGTAGTGCAGGATGCTGCAATGCAGAAAGAAAGGAGTGGAGACGGGAGAATGAATAATTTGAGTTAGTAGCGTTGTGCTGAATGTATTAATTTCCCAGTTTTGATTCATTGTGCTATGGTTATAAACTTGTTAACCTTAGCATAAGCATGAACATAGGGTAAGTTTTGTGTGTACTACTTTTGCAAATTACCTGTGAGTCTGAAATTGGTTCAAGGGGCCAGGGATGTAGCTCAGTGGCACAGTGCCTGCCTGGCAAGCGCAAGGTCCTGAGTTCGATTCTCGGTACCAAAAAAATAAATAAGTAAATTGGTTCAAAACAAAAAAGTTCTTTTAAAGTAGGAAAAATAGCCAGGCGTGGTGGCACAAGCCTGTAATCCCGGCACTCGGGAGGCTGAGGCAGGAGGATCGTTGCGAGTTCGAGACCAGCCTGGGCCACAAAGTGAGCTCAAGACCAGTGAACTGCATAGTGAGACCCCATCTCAAAAAACCCAAATAAATAAATAAATAAAGTAGAAAAGTAAGTGCCAGAACGCTTTCATTTACTTACCTAGCAAATATTTATTGTGTACCTACTACTTACCAGGCATGGGGCCTTAAAAATAGATGTAAAACCCACAGGCGGGATTCCCACTTTCATGGATGGTGAGGCTTACAGATGGATTCCCGCACAAATAGTTCAATAATAAAAAGTCCTGCCTGAATAAGAAAGGTGTAAACCAGGACCCTCACCTGGTCTGTGATATCAGAATCTCCTGACTTAAGCTGAGACCTAAAAAAAGAAAAAAAAAAAAGAGTAGATACCATGAAAGTATTTTCAAAGTAAATATGTTTGGAAAACATTGCATACAATATACAGTATGTGACCTGCTTCCCTATGCCGTATGGTTTTTCTGGGATTCACAGTCTCCATAGGGAAATCTCTTAGAGGATTTGTAGCAAAGAAACTTAACTTTGCTGTGGCCAGCATCTTCCCAACTTGATTCGGTCCCTTTTTGGGAAATCAGCAAGGTACTGTTAGCACACTTCGGGCAACCCTCTGCTGGTAATGTGTGGAGTCCTTTTCAGTTCATGTACTTGAAGGATAACCCCTGCTTTGCCTAACTTGGTACATGTAGTTTTTATTATTGTTGTGAGACACTTGGCCTAGAGGTGATTGGGTGTGAAACTTAAGGGTAGTTTCACTGACTTCTGTCTGGCTTTTCCCACAGTGGGTCTTTTCCAGGGCTGATGTTGGTGCAGTGAGAACCTAGTTCTAAAATGTTTCTAAATCCTGCCCTCCTCTTAGTGAATTGGTTGTGAACTGTGTAATTAGTGTCACGTCTTGTGCAGTAAATGGCTTCCTTATCTAACAAGGCCATTATGCTAGAATTGCAGCTTTCTCTCTTTAAAAAAAAAAAAATGCTTGTCAGAAATGGCTTGTTTCCATCACTAGTTTTTTGAGAGCAATTTTTCAGCACAACCTTTGCAGACAGAAAAAGACTATTTTTCATGGTTCTCAGCAAATGAGATCGTTTCACTGTGTTGTGGTTGTTGAAACGCCATCTTCTCCCTCTGTGTAAAGGGGCCAGAAGCCACTCTTTGTGAGAAGTCTTCAAACTCGGCAGGGACCGCTGTGTCTTCTATTCTGGGAAAAGGAAAGGGCAGGACTGTGGCGGAATATCTTGTAGTTGATACATCCACCCGCATGGCTCTGTTTTGTGGAATGTGGGAATCAAATATTCTAAAAGTGCTTTTTTATTATTTTAAAGATTTGCACACCTTTCTAGGCTCTATCTTTATGAATGAATGGTTTGTCCTTCTCTTTACAGATTCCTTAGTTCACTGAGTGAGTGACCAAGACCTTGGAATTTCTTCCCGCTGATGTGGTGCATCTCATTACAGGTGCTCAACCTGAAATCGCATCTCATGAGATCCCTGACAGGAGACAAATTTGAGTCTCAGAGCAGAGTCTCTAAATAAATGATTGGTGCCTTTGTTGGGGTCGCTGAAGGAGCCACTTTCAGAAGCACTGGAACACCAGCTCTCAAGGATCAACCAGTGACACCGAGGCCACCAGGGCCGCTGCGTCTCGGACTGAGCCATTGTGCTGGGGAATAAAGCTTCGGTGACACCGCCACACACAAACTGCCAAGAGGTGCTGCCGTTCTGCTGGGGACTGAATGCAGGTACACAGAGGTAAGGTGAGCATTCTGAGAAACAAGAGCACCATCTCCTTTGTGTTCATCCAGAGGATCTCTTGGTGGAGAGGAGGAGCAGATCTCTGGGCTCTAAATTTCAACATAAATTAATCCCTTTGGGGATAAAGCATAAGGATAACAGGTTGTCGGCATGTTTTCTCCATAACCTCATTTTAGAATCACTTGGAGACTTTAGAATTCAAATGCCGTGCCCAGCCCTAGTGTGGACCAGTTCAGTGGAAGCCTTTGCGTGTGAGCTGAGGTTGGCCCCCCTTTTTCATTTCTGCAGGAAGGTAGCCAGGGCTGCAAACCATTGAGCTTCCCACATGCGAAGACCCTGGACTTGTACCATCAGAAACTTCCGATGCTTTCTATTCTGCATGGTCTTCTGCTATATGGATAGAGCCTAGTTTATTGGAAAACTTTCTATTGGTGACTAATTTGTTACTAATTTGGGACAATATTTTTTGAACTTCACAATGGCGTGTTCGCGTTGTTTGTCTTATTTCCATAGGATACATTCCAGATGTGAACCTGTGGCTATTGCTACATTTAGGTTGTTAGGCTGCATCCAAATATGGACATCCAGAAAATGCGTGCAGGTTACAATTAGGGTATGAGAATTCCATTTCCTCACGCCTACACCAGCACTTTCAAACTCTACAGGAATAGTAAGTAAAAATGAGGCGTTATTGTTTTGAGTGTTACATTCCAGCCAACTTTTCAACTTAAAAATGTAACATTTTAAAAGTTAATATGTGGGGCTGGGGATTTAGCTCAGCGGCAAAGCGCTTGCCTGGCAAGTGCAAGGTCGTGAGTTTGGTTCCTGGTACCGGAGGAAAAAAAAAAAAAAAAAAGTTAATATGTAATTAGTTAACAAGAGAAATAGGGTTGGAGGAGGTTTTCCCAAAATATACCCATTTTCCTCATTGTTTGGAGCCATTGTTAAACATTTTTCTCTTTTGTGCCATTTTAGGGACCCTCAGTGTTTGCCCATGGTCGTCTTCTTTTTTTTTTTTTATTTTAAAAATAAAAGGAGGAAAACATTAACAGACAGACAACCTTTTACAAAATAGCAAAAGAACACTACAGACAATACAGAGTTACAAACAAAGTGGTAGGAAATTAACAATGCTTGTTGTATTACATATTGATATCTTCAAAGTGGTTTCTCATGAAAACAGATAGAGACATGCAATATTGATCAATCAAGGACTTACTGACAGTTTCTTTCAGCAGAGAAATAGAAGACAGTAGAACAACTATGTTAACTATCCTGTATAAACATACATGCAAAATTTCTCCTTTTTTCCCTTCTCTTTTCCCACTCCCAATTGCCCTTTACCCTAGAGTGTTTTCCTATCATTTCACAATGTCTAACATACCTTATAGTTTAAATTAACTCTTTCAGGTTTTACACTAGTGAAACAATGCAGTGGTTGCACACATGTATGTCTGATTTATTTCACTTATCAGTATGGTCTCTAGTTGTGACCATTTACCTATAAAAGTGTCGAGTTTATCTTTCTTTATAGCTGAGTAATATTCCATTATATAAAAGTACCACAAAATAGGGTTCCTATTTCTCCACAGCCTTACCAGCATTTGTTATTGGTTGATTTCTTAATGCTAGCCATTCTTACTGGGGTAAGGTGGAATCTCAGTGTTGTTTTAATTTGCATTTCTCAAATGACTAATGATGTTGAGCCCATGTTCTTCTTGTAATGTTGTGACCTGAGGTACTGATTGTTTTTTATTTGTACTATGATTATATTTTTAAATTGAGTATAATTGACAAATAAAATCATACCTATCTAAATTGCACAGGATTGTGTTTTGAGATAGATATACCTCGTGAAATGATTACTGCAGTCAAGCCAGCATACCTAGTGCCTCACGTACAGGAGCTTTTAATTTCCTCCACTTAGGAACATTTTATAACAGCACAAATCAAAAAATATTCTTAAATACAAAAAACTTGCTCAGCATCTCATTCCCAGAGACAGACTGCGAGTTAAGTGAATGCCAGATAGACAATTTCTTGATCTCTTTATACATTCATGCATATTTAAAACAAAAAATGGGTATTGCTTTATATACTTGTAAGTTGCTGTTTCACTTACTAGAGTGTAGAGGAAACCTTTTCACCTCAATAAATTCATGTCAACATCATGATCCCTTTTTTGTTTTGCCTTGTTTTTTGAGACAGGATCTTACTATGCAGTTCATGCTGGTCTTGCACTTGTTGTATAGCCCAGGCTGGCCTCAAACTCATATTGATCCTCCCACCTCTGCCTCCCGAGTGCTGGGATTACAGGCATGTGCCACGGCCCAGCCTACAATCTCTTAATAACGTAATTCATAACTCTTTTTCCCATTACCCTCCATTATACATCCCTCCCTGTATCCCCCCATCTTTTCTAATAATAGTCTTCCTTCTACTTTGATGCCATCTTTTTTAGATTTTTACATATTAGTAAAAAGTAGAGGTTAAGAATGCTGATGCACACCATGCAGTCAGGAATCCAAGGCAGGAGGGTCACCATGAGTACAAGGCTAGCATGAACTACATAGTGAGAGCTTCTCTCAAAAACAAAAAAAGTGGTGCTTGTTTTTCTGAGTCTGTGTTATTTTGCTTGACGTGATGATCTCCAATGACATCTATGTTCCAGCAGATGACATCATTTTGTTCTTCTTTATGGCTGAATAATACTCCACTGAGTAGATACACCACATTTTCTTTTTCCACTCATGTTTAACCACCTTGGCTGCTTCCTTATCTTTGCCATTGTGAGTTGTACTATAATAAACATGAGTTTGCAGATCTCCAAGTGGACACTGACTTTAATTCCTTTGGGTATATACCAAGAAGTGGTACAGCCAGGTCAAGTGATAGGTCAGTTTTTAGGTTTTTTAGGACCTTCCCTATGGGTTCCCATGGTGGCTGTACTAATTTATACTGGCAAGAGCACTGTAGAATTGCTCCTCCCCTATCCTCCCAGAAAGCATTTACTTTCTTTCTATTCTTAGTAGTAGCCATTTGGACTAGAGTAAGATGGAATCTCAGTATAATTTTTGTAGTTTTTTTTGTTTTGTTGTGTTTTTTGTTTTGAGACAGAGTCTCACCATGTAGTTCAGACCAGCCTTAAACTGACTCACTGCATAGCCCAGGCTGGCCTCAAACTCACAGCAATCCTCCTGCCTCAGCCTCCCAATCTCTGTGTAGTTTTGATTTACATTTCCCTAATGTCTAAAGATTATGAACATTTTTAATGTATATATTGGCTATGTCTACTTCTATTTTTGAGAAGTGTCTGTTCAATTTATTTGCCTGTTCAAAGTTCCAGGTCTTAAAAGTCTTCCATCCATTTTGAATTGATTTTTGTAGAGAGTGAGAGATAGGGATCTACTTGCAGTCTTCTACATATGGGTATTTTCTCAGCATCTTTTGTTAAAAAGAGTGTCTTTTCTCCAACATGTGTTTTTGGTTTCATTTCAAGAATCAGATGGCTGTAGTTGTGTAGGGTCATTTCTACATCCTGTGTTCTGCCCCACTGGTCTATATGTCTGTTTTTGCACTATATTCCTGTGGCTTTGTAGTATCATTTGAAATGTGGTACTGTGATGCCTGCAGCTGCCGGAGTCAGTGGTTTCTCTGTGGTTCCCGGGAGAAAACGGTGAGAGGATATAGAAAATAAAGACAAGAGACGATAGCCGGTGGAATTACCGCTTGCCTGATGAGCAGGAGGACTGACTCCAACACTAGGGGCGTTTATTTTATACACTTGCGAAGTAGTATCATGAGAGATAATGTTGCCTAGTGACTAACGACTGTAATTGTCCGGCAGGATGCCTTTTTCAATACTGAGGTAGCTTGACTGCTTGACCAATAACCAGCTCCAGTGGCTCCGAACATGCAGCCTTCTTCTTCTTGCTTAGGATTGCTTTGGCTACTCTGGGTATTTTGTGTTTCCATGTGAATTTTAAGGTTTTTGTTTTTGTTTTTTGTTTTTTTGAGACAGGGTCTCATTGTGTAGTTCAGACCTTAAACTCACTATGTAGCCCAGGCTGGCCTCAAATTGGTAGTGATCCCCCTCCCTCAGCCTCCCAACTAAGACTTTTTTTTGTACTGTGAAGAATGTCACTGATATTTTCATGAGGATTTATCAAATCTACACCACTTCCGGTAAAATAGGCATATTGACAGTATGGATTCTGCCAATCTAGGAATGTAGGAGGTTTTTCCATCTTCCAGGGTCTTGTTCAAGTTCTTTCTTCCATGTTCTGAAATTCCCATCATACAGGTCTTTCATCTCCTTTGTTAGGTTGATCCCTAGGCATTTTTTTGTTTGTTTGGTTGGGTTTTTAAATTTTTTTTTTTTTTTTGAGACAGAGTTTCGCTATGCAGTCCAGCCTGACCTCAAACTTGCAGCAGTCCTCCTGCTTCAGCCTCCTGACTGCTGGGATGACAGGCCTGCGCCACCACGCCTGGCCCTTAGGCATTTTTTTGAAGCTGCTATTAATGCAGTTGTTTTCCTGATTTCTTTCTCAGCCAGTTCGTTATTCATATATAGAAAATCTATTTTTTTCCTATAGATTTTGTGTCCTGAATATCATGTGTGAAGAAGATGCCTCTCTCCTGTTTCCCAGTTATGCCTTCTCAGAATGTGGTTCTTTCCCAGGAGGGTGACACAGAGGAGAGAGAAATGGGTGATGGATCACAGAGAGTCAGGTCCCGGGTAAGTTCAGTTTTGCTCTCCTCCGGCACACTACCATGGTCCTCAGAATGTCGGCACTTTTATTTTTCCATTTTCTAGTGCGGAATCCCCACTGTCCACACCACTGACAGATGGAGACACTTGTGACAGATGATGCAGTCGCTCTATGTTTCCTGTTCTCTCTGATAGACCTCCTTTAGCTCTTTTCTCCAGACCCACATTCAGGGAGTCGTATCCATTCTTGATGTTGTGAAGCAAACAACAGATGCAGTAGACTTTTAATCACCATTCACTTAGACAGCCCATCAGAGTTTAAAGCCGTGCTGTGCTATCAACATGGGAAAGATGCCTCGGTCACTTGGACTGCTTTGAGTGAACGGGCTCGATCCTGAAACGTGCCTGAGTTATCTCCTACCACAGGCTAAGTTTATGAAGATTTGTTGTATCTCTTCCTAACCTCTTTAAGCCTGTTGTTTTGATTCTATAATCTGATGAAGTATTGTGTCAATAGATGAGATACGAGTGCTACAACTGGTTTCTTTAAAAATTCTACAAGTTGTAGAAAATTGCACAAGTTAAGAATCTTGGGAAAATTCAATAAAAACTCTTCAGTTTTTAAAAGATTCTTACCAACTTAGGTATGAGCAAAATTGTAAAACATTGAAGAAAAACCATAAAAATCTCAGAGGATTCCACACATGTATTATTTCCCAAGCATCCTTTGCTTTTTCTACTTTAATAAAGCAGAAACAGATGCATTATAAATATGAACACTCAGTCATCAAAATCTCTCTCCTGGAAGAGGCTTAACTTCATTTCAAAAGAGAATAATATAAATTTATATATTTAAGGAAAGGTTCATTATCTCCTATAGATTCTCCACTTTAATCAGTTTTTTTTTTTTTTTGCTTTATATACCAGCTTCCAGTCTCAGTTGCTTCTGAGAGAAGATCTTTTATTTTTACCATTATAATCATTGTCCTCAGGTAGCAGTAAACTCTACGGGGAACTCTTTGACGCCCACATGACACAAGTAATATTTAAAAATGTGTAATATTAGATGGTGTTATGAACATGAATGACAGCACATACAGGCACTCAGAGAAGGGAGAAATGGGATTGCGTCCGTGGAGATGAAGCAAAGCCTCGTGAAGAGGGTAGAGCTTGTACTAAGACCAGCAAGGAGCGGGTGGAGATAAGAAAACCAGAACTGGTGGAGACAAGAAATAAAACGCAAGTAAGAGCAGGAACAGTGGTGAGATTATCAGCTAGTGCTGAGCATTTACTTAGTATCTTAGTGCTTGGAGATCTTCGTATTTCAAGGAGAGATTCAGCTAGTTCTAAATTAATTTGAGGGCTCACCACAGACGGGAATAGGAAGACAGTTTAGAGCTGAGGTGGCACATCTCCTCCTTGACATTTTAGCCAGATGAGTGTTTTCATTTTCCAGAACCATTCATTGTATTAAGAAGAAGGTTAAAAAAAAAGGGAGGTTGATACATTGACTAAATATTTTATTGAGCAGCTAATATATGCCAGAAATTGTGCTTGGCATCAGGTATATATCAGTGATAAAATAGACAGGACCCTAACACCAAGTAGCTAATAACATGCTGATGAATACAAATGAGGCAGTTTTATTCAAATTAAGAATAAGGTGCTATGAATGCATGTTAGGCAGTCAGGGAAACACTCTGAGGGAAGTGAAAAGTCAGCTGCGACACAAAGGAAATATCAGAACTGTAAAATGTAAGTGGAAAAGTGCATTTTAGGTATGTGCTACACATCACTGGTGAAAACCGTGGGTATATTTGAAAAAATTAAAGATCATTGCGGTATATTTGAGAAGTGAAAATAAAAAAGGAGATAATGACGAGGTGAGGCGGGAGAGGTGCACAGGAGCTAAATGCACAAGGCCTGTGGGCGTGAGGGGAAGTTTCAGTTTTATTCCAAGTGTAGTGGGAGCCTTTAAAATCCCCTCGGTGGTATCTAACTGAATATGTGAGACACAAGAATTGAAGGAAGAGAGAACTAGTTAGGAAGCCATTGCAGTGTTCTAAATACTAGAAAGTAGCTTAAAAGTAAGCGGCACATTGGTTCTCAACCCCTTTCCTTACTCTGCTTTTATCCTCTAACATCCTGTAATCTCCTGCTTTACTGTTGATTGTCTACTTTCCCCTCTAGGATGGAGTGTCTTTAATCAAGGCAGGGAATTTCACCTCCTCCGTCCACTGGTCCATTACAGCCCTCCTGGGCGCTCGGGACGGTCTGGACAGACATTTGTTGAACAGATGGAGAATTTCATATCTGATATGGTGGCTTTGCAAACGGGTTGAAAAGATTGTTTATTCAACACCTGATGTTGGGATTTCTGAGAGGTCATCTGTACAGAGATAAAGCTGAATCTGTATCTCACAGTTTGCATCAGAATAGCCTTCAAATGAATCAAGATTTAAATGGGAAAAATGAAACAGTTTTGCAAGAAGAAAAAAAGGGAGAATTCCTTTATAGTCTTTACTGAGGAAAGGCTTTCTAATTACAACAAGAAATCCAAAAGCCATAGAAGAAAAGATTGATAGGACCAGGGATATAGTTCAGCAAGCGCAAGGTCCTGAGTTCAATTCTCAGTGCCAAAAAAAAAAAAGGATTGATAGATTCAGCTCCTTTAAAAACCAAAAGTATATGCATGACAGAAGAAAACTGTAAGCAAAGTAAAAAAAAAAAAAGTCAAATTGAGAATAATATTTTGCCACTCCAATTATAGAGAGCTGATCTTTCTAATACATTAAATATTCCTCTGAATCAGCAAGAGATTAAGAATCCAATAGAAAAATTGTACAAAAAACATAAGAAAATTCACAGAAAGAAATATTTAAATGGATCATAAATACATAAAAAAGTTTGTACTCATAATAGTAAACTTCAGTTAAAGCTAGAGAATTCTTGGTATTTTATCCCTGAACTTGATACTTACTACTAGAATGATATCACCCACAGGTGTGATAACATACTGCTGTCCTGGCAAAACTATGGGGAAACAGGCCCTCTCTTACAGTGCTGAGTTAGTATGCAGATCTAAAAACAAATGACGATGATTTCTGTGAAACAGTGTGGAATGATTTCCAGGACAAACAGTTCCATGAAAAAGGCAGTGTGAAAGAGTATCTATATTGTGCTATTGTTTTTATAACAAAAAGGAGAAATAAAAGCATACATATACACAACTGTCCTTGCTTAAGGACAAAGAGACACCGGAAGGTTGATCAGAGTCTAAGGACATTGGATACCTGTAGGCCCCAAATGGCAATGATAGGAAAAAAGATGAATGAGGGCCAGGGATCTAGCTCAGGGGCATAAGCACCTGCCTGGCAAGCAGAAGGTCCTGAGTTTGATTCCTGGTACCAAAAAAAAAAAAAAAAAAAAGATGAATGAGAAGGCAGGAGGGTGAGAATGATACTGCTCCACTGGGGCTTGTAGAGTCCCCACTCAATGATCCTTTGACCCTGAATAGTGGATTCTATGTACTGAGGCTAAAAACAAAGTAACTCTACATACTGAAGTCTAATCTAGAGGCTTCTTTTGTGTAGAGGGATTTACTGTGTTACAGTAACCTGAAACCACTTTCTCTGCATTCCCTGATTGAGCAAATAAGTAAATATATTGTAAATAACGAAAGCCCAGTTTCTTATGATCAGAGAAGAAAATTACAAATATGAAAAAAAGGAGGGGGCTGGGGATTTAGCTCAGCGGCACAGAGCCTGCCTGGCAAGTGTGACGTCATGAGTTCGATTCCCAGTACTGGAAAAAAAACACAGAAAAAAAAAAGGATGAATACAGGCGTGGTGGCACATGCCTATAACCCCAGCACTCGGGAGCCTGAGGCAGGAGGGACCTGCAAGTTCAAGACCAGCCTGGGCTACAAAGTGAGACCCTGTCTCAAAAAAAAAAAAAAAAAAAAAAAAAAAGTGAATGAACATTGCCATTGGACTAGAACTACAGGTACCCATGGGAACTTAGGGTTTGTAATACATAAAGCTACAAATAGAAATGGAGATAGAGTCATAAATGTACGTGTGTGTGATCATGTGTACCTGTGTGTATGCACACACACACCTGTATTTCCCACAGACAGCTGCTGAGAGCACCAGGAATAAAGACACTCCAGGAGCGCTGAGCTTCCCTACTGCCTACATCCCGAGCTCCAAATACCACTCGTCATTAAAAAGAACCAGGGGTCTGAGAAAGCTGATTCCAGGCTTGGGCTGGAAAAGCATCAGCTTAACCTTGAAAGAAGAACATGTTTTTCTGCCAAAAAAGTAAAGAAATGTTCAGAGAATGACAGGGATGTGTCAAAAGGACACAGAAGTCAGTTTGAAGAGTCTCTTACTAAATCTGTGATAATTTGAGCATTAAAATGAACAGTGATAAAGGCTTACAAATTATTGAATGAAGTAAGAATCTATTGGGCTGGCGGCAGAGCCCGGTGAAGAGGACCTGCCTACCACGTGTGAGACCAAAGATCAATCTCCTGCAGCATTGATACACACACACAGAGTGCATAAATCCTCACTAACACGAATAAATAAATGAGAAGAGAAATCTCTTCACAGAAAAGAACCAACTGGTAATGTATAGAAGATGATTGAATTAGAAAAACAGCACTGGGCAACCATCCTAATTCAGTCAAGAATTATTAGATGCTGACATTATACTCAGGGATATATGTATACCCATGTTTATAGCTGTGCACTTCATAATAGCCAAATCTTGGAAGCAGCCTACATATCTATCAACAGATAAATGGATAAAGAAACTGTGGTATTTATACACAGTGGAGTACTACTCTGCCATAAAAAGGATAAACTTGAGGTATTTGTAGGAAAATGGAAGCATCTTGAGACCATAATCTTAAGTGAAATATGTAAGTCAGACATACAAACTTAAATATCTCTTGGTTTCTCTTATCTGAGAAACCCAAAATATAAGCAAAGAGCAAAATTAAAAATAGATAATAGGAAATG